TTTAGGAGGGGCCTGATGACCGCCGTTTTCAAGGCCATTGGGAATGTTCCAGATTCAAGAGACATATTAACTATTTGTGTAAGTGAAGGTAAAAGACTGCTCAGAACTGACTTGAGAAATCTAGGAGGTAATACATCCAGGCTGCATGTGGAGGAACTCAGACTAGTGATTATCTCCTGGACAGTTTCAATTTGTACTGGTGTAAAGTGCGTCAGCCCAAAAAGCCTCACTGGCGGTTGGATTATTATTTCTATCGTGGAGGTGATGGCGTTTTTGATACCTTGGACTTTGTCATTAAAGAACTGAGCAAACTCATTACATTTAGATTTGGAAGTAAGTTCTGATGGCATCTTAACAGGGGGATTCGTCAATCTATTTACTGTTGAAAACAGAACACGTAGATTGTTGCTACAGCCTTCAATAGTTTCAGAAAAGTACATTTCCCTCGTTCTACGTAGTTCCCTGTTAAAATTGCACAACGCATCTTTGAAGATCTCATGGTCAACTTTGAGATTTGACTTTCGCCACTTCCGCTCGGCCTTCCGGCACTCTCTCTTCTGTGCCCTGACCGAGTCTGCTTTAGTCCATGGCGCTTTTTGCTTGTTTGTAACTATTTTAACCTTTACAGGAGCAATTGTATCCAGAACATTCAAAACAGTGGTGGTGACAGAATCAAGTAATTCATCTACAGTAACACACAACGTGTTCTCAAAGTTTACCCTCCCCATGAACAGTTCGCCTGTATTATCATTTATGTGTCTTCTTCTAACAACCGAAGATTCAGCTGGTGGTTTACAATCAAGACACATGTCAACAAATACACAGAAATGATCAGACAGAGCAACATTGACTACATTTACATTTGAAATATTAACCCCCTTGGTAATTAACAGATCGAGAGTGTGTCCTCTGCTGTGGGTGGGGCCACTCACATGCTGAGTGAGACCAAAGGTTTCCAGCACAGAGCTCAGCTCTATTGCATATCTATCATTAGCATTATCTACATGTATATTGAAATCACCTACAATGACCAAACCATCAAAATCTGTGCACACAACTGAAAGCAACTCAGTGAAATGATAAAGCCAAATCTACAATGGAATGGTTCACAAATAGACGTATCCAGGTGTTAGAATGGCCAAGTCAAAGTCCAGACCTGAATCCAATCGAGAATCTGTGGAAAGAGCTGAAGACTGCTGTTCACAAACGCTCTCCATCCAACCTCACTGAGCTCCAGCTGTTTTGCAAGAATTCCAGTCTCTCGATGTGCAAAACTGATAGAGACATACCCCAAGCGACTTACAGCTGTAATTGCAGCAAAAGGTGGCGCTACAAAGTATTAGCGCAAGGGGCCGAATAATATTGCACGCCCCACTTTTCAGTTTTTTATTTGTTAACCACTTTGCAACAACCGGCGCGCCGGCGGCCGTTTTTATGTTTTTAAATGTTCTGCTGGCAATAGCAGATGTATTTTGAACACCAAACCGCAAAAGCTGTATATCATTTTAAAGCTTATTTTCTTATCTACATTTATATACAAGTGTAAACTACACTTGCATTCAAAAGATATAACACATAATGTGGGCACAAAATAAATCAATTCCGAAATAGTTTTTTACCTTTGGGCTTGTGCTGTACAAATAAATCAGCTCTCCTCCCAGCTTGCAATACATCATTCTTTCTGGAACAGTCCAAAGGAAAATTATATCCACTTGTATTTCCCAAAGTAAAATCCATTCTGCAGAAATAATCCAAAAATGTGCATTTATCTTTAGCGAAAAAAACGAAAAAAAAGAGCACAGATGTTACTTTTTCACTTTTAACGGACTTTTAGCTTTGTTTTTCACCCAAACATCTGGTATCTACGTGTTCCTTAGCTCCTTATCTTTCAAATGAGACTACTCCCGAAAAGCTAGACCAATTTTTGGGTCTGCAATGGCTCCCGCAAGTACCGCTCGTGCTGCTGTTTGCGCATGGAGGACTGATCTTTGTTGTGCTCCCAACTTGTTTGCTTTTACTTCCGGGATTTACGATTGACATGTCCTTGTAGCCAATGAGGAAAGCTTTCGAACAAGGGGTGGGACAATGGTGTCCTGTCTTATGTTGTGCCTGGACAATTGTGCGTAATGGAAGCCAAAAGACGCTCTCAAAGCTGCAATGAATTTACACTCATAAAAAAATAACTTTGACATTTAAAAAAGAAAAACACACATAGATTAGTAACTTATAAGTACCAATAATGAAAAATATTGTTTTTATGATGATTAAATGTAAGTAAAGATATTTGGCACAATTTGGCACACTTGTGCCAAATTGTGCCAAATGTGCACTACTTGATGAAAAGGAGAAACTGCATAAAAACTATAAAACTTACAAGTCTGAAACTTTAGACAGTTGTTGTCAACAACACAATGAACAGAGGGTTTGAATATTGTGAACTTACAATGAAGTATGCCTTTTTTAGGGCCTTTAGAATTTGAAAATGTTAGGCGAGGCTAAAAAAATTGGGTTTTTTTCCCTAACTTCAAAGGATGCAGAGGAAAATAGGAATGACAAACATTATTTTAGTGTTTTTTTACATAAACTAGAAGGCTCTAGCTTTAAAATGATGCATCACACAAGCATGTGAGATGTAAGATGTGTTTTTAAATAAGCAAAGACATTTGGGTATGCCCAACCATTGTGCACGAGCCAAAATGAGGCGGTTGTTAAGAGGTTAAAAAAGTTGAAATTATCCAATAAATTTCGTTCCACTTCACGATTGTGTCCCAATTGTTGTTGATTCTTGAAAAAAAAATTTTTTTTTAAATCTTTATGTTTGAAGCCTGAAATGTGGCGAAATGTTGAAAGGTTCAAGGGGGCCGAATACTTTCGCAAGGCACTGTATATATAGACATAGACACAGGAGACATGATGAAACAAGGCTAATTATGGAAGTATATAAGTCATTTGCACGTTAGCGATTTTGATTTCACTCATGTTCAGATTCATTTATTTGCCATTTGCAGTAAAACCACATAGGAAAAACTGTTCCTATGTTCTTTTAGAAAAGGTTTACAAAAGGTGTGAGTTTGACAAATATGAACGACTGGGTATAGATTGATTTTGTGTTAGCAAAACAGGTCGACATCTTTAAGGATTCTCACAAAGGACAAAGTAAAAAATCTTGAAATAGACCGACATTTGCACTTGATTTGCCTTTTGTCTCCTGGTCTTAAATCAACAGCAGAGGCCAATGTTGTATTTGAACAGTGAAATAAGAAGCAGTAAAACCGTTAAAGACTTTAAAGACCATTTAGATCACGGGTATTCGACTCGGTCCTCAAAGAGAAGACCCCTCCACCCATTTCCTCAAGTGAGTCCACTCTGAACCTGCAGCTTTGAGGCAGTGGGTGGAGTCTGGAGTGCTCCTGTTTGGTTGGATCAGTATCAGATCTCACAGGTTACGTTTAGTTTTGTGTTTTTTGTTGCTGGAGACTTCTGCCTCAGCTTCTCCATCGTTTGTCTTTCCCTTCTCTTCCCTCACATCTGTATTCATCATTGCACCTGTGTCTCGTAGACGTGGGCAATATCGACAATATCTCTGCGATCATAAAGTGGTCTCCAGAGGATTCCAATCAAATACATCACAGAGAAATATAAGACATTTTTAAACAGAAAAATCCCATTGAGAGTCCTGGATAATTCAGAAACTTCACTTGATGAAAAGGAGAAACTGCATAAAAACTATAAAACTTACAAGTCTGAAACTTTAGACAGTTGTTGTCAACAACACAATGAACAGAGGGTTTGAATATTGTGAACTTACAATGAAGTATGCCTTTTTTAGGCAGTTGTATCGTCCTCAACCTAGCAGACTTCTTCAGGGAATGAAAATTTATTCCCTGAAGAAGTCCGCTAGGTTGAGGCCCAGTTTTCACAATAATATTTATTTATTTTTCATTTTATTGGTGAGTGAGTGGTTAGCGCACTCGCCCCTTTAGCAAGAAGGTCCTGGGTTCTGACTGCCATGTTGTTCCCACTCCCTAGGTTTCCTCCAGGTGCTCCGATCCCCCACCACTCCCTGTAAACGCACAGTGGGACTCCTGGTTAATAAATACATAATTAAGCGTTGCATTATTACCAAAGATGTATAATTCATTTCAACTCAGCTCAGTGGCGCGCAAACGTTTCTACAGACTCAAGAAAATAACAAATGCTGCGTTCTGGGATTGTGTCTCGGTGGAAGACGATGTTTTATTGTTGTTACACAATTTTCAGAGTCACATGTTTTTTATACTAAGGCAAAACACAGCCGTCTGATAAGTTAATCCTAGCTTGTAGAAGGAAGTGGTTTTCCATTTGAAGCTCAGTTGTAAACTCATTCAAAGTCTTCTTTAAAAGAACATCATACGTTAAAGGAGACGTACTTGTTAGGGTTATTCCACGCTGTAACATTGTCCCCGCATCAAAAACTGACCTGGAATTGTCCTCAGATCCATCCGGGTTATTATAAACACTCCTGCTTCAGTTCTGCAGTACTATGATGTCATTGTACCACTGTGACATCATACTGTATACTTTTCTGCCTTTTACATCAAAAGTATTGCCCATGAACTAGTTTTAGTCAATTTCTCAATTTAAACGACGTTCTTTACATGACCGGCTGTTTTTACAGTTTGGAGAAAATAATGTAGTTCCTCACTTTGGTGGTAGCATCGGGAGTGAAAAGATCTTGGAAATCAGTATTCAAAGACAATATTTGGAAATGTGGTATACTCTCCTCTTTGGGTTGTTTTGGTTCAGAAATACATTAATTTATATAAAACCAAAAAGTCAGACTTAACCGTACTCCCTCACCGCAGAGCTTTATGTTGCATATTTGTATGAAACAACGACAATGAAGTAATAGAATCTGCATACACTCCCATCTGTCTCTGTCATCACTGTCTCTGTCCAACAATGTTCACATCTTCCGCCTCACCCAACCCTCAAAACTCTTTCCCTTTGTCTTGTGGAAGTCGATCCCGGCGTGGGGACCTCCCGCCGAAGACCCGTGTCCCTGTGCCCGTGCTGGTCCCCCGAAGGTAACGTGCCGGTGTTGGCTTGTTACCGGGCCCAAAAAAAATAACCCTGAGAACCTACACCCTGGGATCCACCCCCCCCTCCCTCCCCCTCCCCCCTCCCCCTCCCTCCCCCACTACCATGTATGCAGAAATGAGCACAGAGCGTTTCCCACTTGTTATTTTGAAATTCTTGATTTATGATTCAAAGAGTATAAAAAACAACTGTGGGAAACAGCCGTGCGACGGCGTGTCATTAACTGCATGCTTCTTGTTTTCCATTTGACCTCGATTTAATATTTACGGGTTCTGCGTATTTTTGGTATTCTCGGGGAATGATCTTGCCTTGTGCCTTGTTTAATTAATGATGCTTCTGAGGTGAGCAGGTTTGCAAGTGGAATGGCTCGCGGACGCGTTTGGAGGGTTTGGAAAGCGAGAGTTTGCATGGTTTGGTGAAGATGACGACTGTTTGAAGTGTTAGATTATAATGGTTGATTTGGTTTGAATCTAACACCTGGAGATTTCGCCGGGATCTTGAACGTGTGAAGTCAGTTTTGTTCTGTTTTTAGAGCAATGAGCGTTGGGAATCTTTGACGATTGAAATAAGCCTGTCACGATAATTCACTTTTTATTTTATTTTTTCCATTGTTTTGAAACTAAATTGGTGGATTGTGTGACCTTTTAGATGAAGGTTCTGCCAACTCTTAGTCACTGCCTACAATTTAGTTCTGCCCTTTAATATTGCTCAGGCTGGCGTGTTTATTTCACTGTTTACATTGGTTTGATCCTGCTCCGTCAGTGACATCACAGCCTTGGCCTTTTAGGGGGAGACTTCAGGCAGAGTGGGCTTTAGAGGAAAAGATGCTTTATTGGTCCCACGGTCAAAGAACAATAACTCGATACAAAAAATAAAATATAATCTCTAACTTTAGCATAATAAAGAATCAAATATAAAATCTCAAGCTTTAGCAAAAATAAGGAAGCAAGTATAAAATCTACATCTTTAACATGATAAAGAATCTCTGACTTAATTGTAAACACCATTTGGAGCAGATAGAAATGTTTTTTTTCTTTTAATTCCATCTCATGTACAAAAACTTGGGCTGTAACTAACAAATATTTAGAAAATGTATGACTTTATATCCCTAAAGGTCAGTGCATAAGAGAGGTTTTTAATATATTCAACCAAAACAAAGCTCAGTGATGCCCCTGGAGAGGACTTCAAACATTTAGTCTTCACATTTTCATTATATATAGTCGTAAAAGCTCTTATCAGCAAGTTTCAGAGTCTATGTACCCTTCAAGATCAAATACTCAATTAATAAATTAGTTAAACCATTTCAAAAATTGGTTGTCGTTGCAAATAATTGATTCCCTCGTTGCAGCCCTATTCAATTCAATTATTTTTTATTAACAAATGTATGTGGCGCTGCATTAGCCTGTAGCCTACAGCTGTGTACAACAGTTTACGCCTGTGTTTCATGACCACATACTTATCGTGACAGGTCTATGTCTGAAAGGCCTGGGCCGAGGGCTGGTGGCGGTGAACTACGCCGCTATAATTGGAGATTTCAAAACGAGACAGCTGTTTTGTTTGGTTCCCTACCCTTTTATTTATCCACAAAACTTTTTTTTCTAGTCCAGTTCTTACCCTTTTCGCTCGGCCGTGTAATAAGCAACAGCAGCCAGAGCCAGACCGCCGACAACACCGGCCAATTTGTGCGTGCACAGTGTTCCTCTTTGGTGTTTGTCTTTGAGAGCCGCCTCTTCTGCAGCTAAGTATGTCACGGCGCGTTGAGGTTTTTGCCTTTTGGTGTTCCATTGAAAGTGCTTAGCTCCACCTGCTGCAGCCTGATAATGAAAGAAAGGCCTGAAGCGTTTCGAGAATGTCGGCGTGTACAGACCCGGGCGAATGAAGAAGTAAAAGTCAAGTAAATGCGCTTTTAAAAAATTGATTTCATTGTCCAATAAGAGCTCAGCCTTTGCTTCTATAAAACCCATATCTTTAAAATTAGATAAAAGAAAGCACATTGTTAGGCCTCTTCATAGTTTATGACCTTGAAACAAAACACAGAAGCTTTAATGGAGAGCTATGTTTATTTTGAATCTTGAATTGTTTGTTTTTTTAGCATGTGGGCTGGCTAAGATCACACTTTCTTCTAGCTCTCTGTTCTCCACTACCCACCTGTGCTTAAGGGAGAAAAACAAGCACCTGCCCCAAGGATATGTTTTATACAAGTCCAAACTGGGCTAGCAACAACGTGTCCCCAATGCTAACTTCCTGCGTGGGATGAGTGTGTTTGTGCGCTTGTGTTTTGAAACTATAGCCCTGTACAAATAGCTAGCACACAATCATGTCCAGATAAACCGGGCGCCTGTTAGTACATTCCACCTCTCCATCCCCTGGTCCAGACACGCAGGCTTGGCTGTCTTTGAGTTGCAAGATTAGGTCTTTGGCTAAACCCAGCTCTGCTCTCACTCTGATGTCCCTCTGCTGCAGGAATGGGCAAGAAGGACGACCCCAAACTGATGCAGGAGTGGTTCAAGCTGGTGCAGGAGAAGAACGCCCTGGTCCGCTACGAATCCGAGCTCATGATATTGTAAGTGAAGTGGATGTGTTTATTTTTTTAATCTTTGGTGTAAGGACAGCTTGTGTGATGTAAAAGTCTGCTAGCAGCGCAATTCATTTTGTATATAACCCTAAATCACAACATTAGTTATCGCGGAAGACTTAACAACTGTCGATTCGCCGACACAGGTCAGAGAATCAAACTGTTCAAATACAAGAAATGCAATGATAGAGATAAATGTTGGAAGGTGACAAACTTATGGAGCAACTTTAATAGAACAAAACCAATGCATAAATCCAGTTGATATACATTGTTTGAATTTCCAACTCCCTCTGGTGGCAGCACAGGGAGTTACAGGCAGAAAGCATTTGTATGTTCTGTTTCCCCATTTAAAATACTAACATGTGAAATTGACTTGAATAGTGCCATCTGTAGAACTTTTACCCTTTTTACTTCATGCGGAGGTCTCACATATCTGTCTGCAGCAGTGTGTGTGTGTGTGTGTCTGCAGCAGTGTGTGTGTGTGTGTGCAGCAGTGTGTGTGTGTGTCTGCTGCAGTGTGTGTGTGTGTGTGTGTGTGTGTGTGTGTGTGTGTCTGCAGCAGTGTGTGTGTGTGTGTGTGTCTGCAGCAGTGTGTGTGTCTGCAGCAGTGTGTGTGTGTGTCTGCAGCAGTGTGTGTGTGTGTGTCTGCAGCAGTGTGTGTGTGTCTGCAGCAGTGTGTGTGTGTGTGTGTGTCTGCAGCAGTGTGTGTGTGTGTCTGCAGCAGTGTGTGTGTGTGTGTCTGCAGCAGTGTGTGTGTGTCTGCAGCAGTGTGTGTCTGCAGCAGTGTTGTTGTGGAGCAGTGGACGTGACGCTGATGGAGGAGAACGACACTAAAGTCACCTGGGACCACACACACCTCACATTTGTGTGTTTCACCCCCAGCACTTTTCTCAGAGATTACATTTGACACTGATACACACAAACAAACACAGGCACACACACAAACAAACACAGGCACACACACAAACAAACACAGGCACACACACAAACAAGCACACAAACAAGCACACACACAAACAAACACAGGCGCACACACAAACAAACACAGGCGCACACAATGCCTTTGGTGTTATAGCAAGACCATGCTAATTTTCAACACTCACACACATGGATACATACAGTAAACAATACATCCATTTCTGGGTCGGGGGGTGGCAGTCAGAGCACCAGCCCCTCACTGATCCTCCTGCAGGAGCTGAGTCCACAGGAGCTGAGATCTTTCAGCGGGGGCTTCAGGCAAAGTGGGGTTAAGTGTCTTGCCCACGACCTTCAGGCTGAGGCTCAAAGACCAGGGCCAGGGCCAGGGCCAGGACCAGGGCCAGGGCCAGGGCCAGGACCAGGGCCAGGGCCAGGGCCAGGACCAGGGCCAGGACCAGGGCCAGGACCAGGGCCAGGACCAGGGCCAGGGCCAGGGCCAGGGCCAGGACCAGGGCCAGGGCCAGGGCCAGGACCAGGGCCAGGACCAGGGCCAGGACCAGGGCCAGGAGCAAGACCAGGGCCAGGACCAGGGCCAGGACCAGGGCCAGGACCAGGACCAGGGCCAGGACCAGGGCCAGGACCAGGGCCAGGACCAGGGCCAGGGCCAGGACCAGGGCCAGGACCAGGGCCAGGGCCAGGACCAGGGCCAGGACCGGCGTCCTGTTGCTGCTGAAAGACTCTTTACTCACAGCGTGCAAACAAAAACCAGCTCAAACTCCAGGACCAGTCGACCGTGCATCCTCGTGTGTATACATTTATTTTCACACACGGCATTAGCTCATTATTTAAAGATGAAAAGTAAAAAGCTGCAGAAGAGAGTGGGAGGTAATAATTGCTGAAATCGAGTGATTTTATCTTAATTAACATTCTGACAGCATTTAGTCTTATTTCAAGAACTGTTGCTTCATTTTCTCATTCCAAAGGAGACGTTTCTTGTCTTTTTAAAACAAGATTATTTTGCTTTGTCCCGTTGGTGAATCTTATTTGAAGGCAGTCAGAATGTGCTCAAATTAAGATACATGTACGTTTGGCCAAATTCAAGCAATTTTCGGCTCGTTTCTCATCACTTTTTGCATATTTCCATTTCATATTCTGTGCTTTTATTACAGTTCAAATTAATAAATTATCTGCAAATTATCACTTGACTTTAGAGTTATCATTATTATTATTTTAGACAACAAACGGCATATTTATTATTTATTGTTTTCCCTGTTTTTGTGGCTTTGTCCCGTTAGCGCCAGAGAGCTGGAGCTGGAGGACCGTCAAAGCCGCTTGCAGCAGGAACTCAGGGAGCGGATGGCGGTGGACGGTGAGTCCCAGCAGGAGGCCAGACAACCCTTTTTTTAATGTATTTCCTGCTTTTAACCATGTATGTGTTTAAACCTTTCAGATCACTTGAAATCAGAGCAGGAGCTGGCGCAGGAGAAGCAGATCCTGAACGAGATGTTGGAGGTGGTGGAGCAGAGAGACTCTTTGGTCGCGCTCCTGGAGGAGCAGCGCCTCCGCGAGAAGGAGGAGGACAAGGACCTGGAGGAGGTCATGCTCTCCAAAGGCTTCAACCTCAACTGGACATGAGGACACAGGGTCAAAAGCACTGTCTCCCCCAGACCTAGACCACCTCCAGCCCATAGCCCCTCCCACCTGCAGCCATTAGCCCCTCCCACCTGCAGCCATTAGCCCCGCCCATCTCCAGCCCATAGCCCCTCCCACCTGCAGCCCATAGCCCCTCCCACCTGAAGCCCATAGCCCCTCCCACCTGCAGCCATTAGCCCCGCCCATCTCCAGCCCATAGCCCCTCCCACCTGCAGCTCATAGCCCCTCCCACCTGCAGCCCCTCCCATCTCCAGCCCATAGCCCCTCCCACCTGCAGCCATTAGCCCCTCCCACCTACAGCCATTAGCCCCTCCCACCTGCAGCCATTAGCCCCTCCCACCTGCAGCCCATAGCCCCTCCCACCTACAGCCATTAGCCCCTCCCACCTGCAGCCCATAGCCCCTCCCATCTCCAGCCCATAGCCCCTCCCACCTGCAGCCATTAGCCCCTCCCACCTGCAGCCATTAGCCCCTCCCACCTGCAGCCATTAGCCCCTCCCACCTGCAGCCATTAGCCCCTCCCACCTGCAGCCATTAGCCCCTCCCACCTGCAGCCATTAGCCCCTCCCACCTGCAGCCATTAGCCCCTCCCACCTGCAGCCATTAGCCCCTCCCACCTGCAGCCATTAGCCCCTCCCACCTGCAGCCATTAGCCCCTCCCACCTACAGCCATTAGCCCCTCCCACCTGCAGCCCATAGCCCCTCCCACCTGCAGCCCATAGCCCCTCCCACCTGCAGCCCATAGCCCCTCCCACCTGCAGCTCATAGCCCCTCCCACCTGCAGCCCATAGCCCCTCCCACCTGCAGCCCATAGCCCCTCCCACCTGCAGCTCATAGCCCCTCCCACTTGCAGCCATTAGCCCCTCCCACCTGCAGCCCATAGCCCCTCCCATCTCCAGCCCATAGCCCCTCCCACCTGCAGCCCATAGCCCCTCCCACCTGCAGTCCATAGCCCCTCCCACCTGCAGCCCATAGCCCCTCCCATCTCCAGCCCATAGCCCCTCCCATCTCCAGCCCATAGCCCCTCCCACCTGCAGCCATTAGCCCCTCCCACCTGCAGTCCATAGCCCCTCCCACCTGCAGTCCATAGCCCCTCCCACCTGCAGCCCATAGCCCCTCCCACCTGCAGTCTGAATGTGTCTCCTCACCTTCTGGGAAAGGCCGAGCTGCTTCATCACTTTGCAGTGTTCGATGCCTCTGGACACGCAGCAGAAAGCTCTGGAGGAGGAGCCAGAGAATGTTTTAAAGACTTGTTTTATTCAAGAAAATGTCAAAGGGAAGGTCCTGCTGATGTACAGACTTTTTACAGAAACGTGCGTCTGTGTGTAGTCATTTTTTGTAAGTTTCATTCGCTGAAAAATAACCTCCGGAAGCAGGGGTGTCAAAGCGGTTCTCAAACGGGAGAGTGGGATCCAGGTTTTCATTCCAACCAAGCAGGAGCACATATTTTGAGTCCTAGTGTCTCAACACCCGGACTCTCTCAATTATGAAGCTACTACAACTCCCAGAGCCGCCATTTTGACTGCTCCCCTTCTAACCAATGAAGTTCTGAGACATTTTGCCCCAAAAGGTTTTATTTCCCAAATATAATAAAAAGGAAGTCATTGATAAGGTCTTAATGCACTTTTAATGCGTGCTAAAACTGATGAAAATACAGCAAAAACAGTTTGTGTGCTAATGCTAACAGCTAAACTTGTGTTGCTATGGTAACTAGCACATGCTTTTCCCTGGTGGAAAACCAAGCTGAACCAGAACCAGTCCAGGACCAAGCACCTTGAAAGAACGGCTTTAACTGCCAAAAAAAAAGACATTTCAATGTTGCAGTCAAAATGACGGCTGCGGGAGTTAAAGTTACACTTCAGAAATAAACTATAATTTCAGATAAAGAAAAACACTACATATTGACACAGAAAAACACCAAGATCAACATGAGAAGACTCATTACACTTCCAAAACGAAAAGCCGTCAAATTGACTGTTCTGGGAGTTCTAGTGTTTAACCGACCACAATCTGACGGTAAATGTTTTTATTTTCTCTGCTTTCAAAAGGTTCCACTCTGCGATACATGAAAGGTTCTATCTGACCAACAAAATGGCCGTGCACATTGTCTGTTCATTCGGACAATTTTTTCACGAGATAAACATAACTATTCAGACTTTTCCGGAATCTCATTATTTTGCTCTTATGCACACACCGTAAAAAGTGACAAAAAATACGTCAGAAATTGCTCAGATTTGGCTAAATGGGTCTTAATTTGCACATATTTTGACCAGATTTTCCAAATGGGATACAGCAGAATTATCTTGTCTCTTGAGATGAGAAAATAAAGCAACATTTGGCTTTGTCCCATCGGCAAATCTTGTTTCAACACAATCAGAATGTTATAAATTTAGATAAAAACCACAGATTCAAGCAATAATTACCTCACATTTTATCATTTTTTGCAGTGACCGTGACCACGCATCAGGCCGTGCTCGCCAGAAACAAAACGTGAATATTGTGTTGTGAGTTTAGACACAGAAAGAGCATTGTTTGGACACAGCTTCTCTGTCCATTCTGATGAACAGGCCCCCCACAATGTTTACAGCTTATTGTTCCCGTTCATAAATGTGCGTTTTTCTTCCTCGCGGCGGCGGAAATGAACATCCCCGAAGATGATTTGTTTTGAGAGAAAACGTCCTTTCAGCTTTAGGAAAGTCTTCAGCCAGGTGCATTAACGTTTTAGATTGAAAGTTATTAACAAGAGATTCGCAAAAAAAAGTTTAGACTAATTTTGTGTCTGTTCGTGACTGATTTATGACTGCGTTTTACGGGAACACTACACCGTTAGTTTGCCTTTTTTTGGTCACCTAATATACGCGTTTATTTTCAAGTGACGTCTTACTCACTTTTTAGAATGCACTCAAACTGACGAAAAAGGAAAAAACTGCGTCTTTCGAAACGATCAAATTAAACTAGAAATTGTGGAATCTACTTTGGCCGCGGTTGTTGCGTTGCACACGACTTGGTGAAAGCTGTGACTACGATGTGTTTTAGGTTGTGTGACGATATAAGTTTGGAGTTGTTGATATTTATTGAATAACGTGTGCAAAACTGTAAAATATGTAAAGAAAGTGAAAAACCCTAATTTTTAAAAACGGCCTGTATTGTAAATGCTTCATGTAGCCAAATGCATAGGGGTCATGGAAATATGCTCAAAGGCAATAAATAAAAGCATTTCTCTAAAACCTGAGCAGTGGTTTATTCAAATGGATGCACGTCGCCTCACAGCAAGAGGGTTCCTGGTTCCACCTCAAGGATTTGATGGTCCACACCAGCTCTGAATCATGGGTAAAGGCTTAATATATACAGTCTATGGTAAAGGCGTATTACACGCCTAATTACATGTCTTTCCTGTGTATTTCTATCTGTTTTCTGTGAATTAATTTAATGCCAAAGTCAGTAACAGGGCTACTTTTTTAAATTTTTTATAGCCCTTAATCACTCCCGCAGTTGTTGATTCCTTGTCAATAGATTATAGAATCAAACTTTTTGCTATTATCTCAAAGAAATGTAGAAGTAGAGGCCAAGACTCTACTTCTACACACTCTACTGTAAGTCGGGGGCCGGACTTTGGACTCTTCTGGTCCAAAGTTCAGCTGCATTTGTGTTGTTAAATCTAAAGTCTGCTTCAGCTGAAGTCTGGGGCTGGGCCTAATCTCAGCAAGTATCAAGTGGGTTCTGTTCACGTGTCCAGAGACAGTACAGACTGAAGTTTGCATGTTTCTCTGAGTCTGGGTGGGTTTCCTCTGTGCGCTTTCCACCTCACCCAGAACATACATGAGAAACCTCCAGCGACTGTTGGCCTCCAACCTGTAGCTAGGTAGCTATTGGTAGCATGCTCTCAGGTAGCTCCCTGAAGGATTATGAAATTTCCAAATGTGTTGAATGTTTTTGGCCTCCATTATTCATTTGTTCGCAACTATTTTAAATTCAAACTTTGTGCAGTAGTAACAAATATACGATAAATAATGACTCTTGTGACAGAAGCAAATCTCGGTCTCTCACCAATATATCACCTCAGTTTTCCCAAAATCGCTTAAATGGATAAAGGAGGATTTTCCCAGACTTTAGAAAAGAATCGCCCTCTCCACTCTGGTCTTATTTGAGCACATATCACCAGAATGATTGACAGTTGGGAGGACCAATAAAGTTGATGATCCATCCTCCAATATACCATTAAATACATTCAGGAGGAAACATTTATACCTTTAAGTGAAGAGGTCTCTGCCTTTGGCGTTACTAAAAAGTATCTCTCCAGGGGAAAAGGTCGGAGATCCCTGGAGGGTCTCCAACAAATGCAGAGACAAGTGTATGTGTGTGTGTGTGTATGTGTGTATTTGTGAGTGCGCGTGCGTTTGCGTGTGCGTGGGTGGGTGCGTGTGCGTGTGCGTGTGTATATTTTGGCTGGCTGCCAGAGGGCGGGCCTTGAGGAGAACCCAGTGAAATGATTGGTTTGTGAGTGCAGATTTCTGACCCTTCTGTGGGAAGTGAAAGTTGCGAATCCTGCACGGTCTGGTCTGGCACAGAACAGTCTCAGCTCTGTCTCCGCGGACATGGAAGCCTCCAGTTTCAGAGACTGTCAGGTTGGTGCTAAAGTGTTCTCACTACGGTCCGCTGTTCATTTACAGATGGATCACGCAGCGCGACGTCGTCTCTCACTTGACCTAGATTTGTAGTTTATCTTTGAAATAAAACACATGTTACATACTATTATTACTTACATACGCTTTGTATGTTGATTCTTAGGGTCCACGTTAAAGCTGGGGTACCTCATTCTTCATAAATAACGTTATGTTGCAAACCTTGCCCTGATTGGCTGAGGGAGGCAGTCCTCTATTTTTCACTCCTGTCAAAGCTGACACTTTTTGAACAAAACTCTGGTCTTGAGGACGTATCACCAGAATGATTAACAATTGGGAGGACCAATAGTCTTGATGATCCACCCGTCTCTACCTTAAGCCAAACAAATACGAGATCTGTTTTAGGCATTTTATTACATATAGTCCTATTGTTACGTTTGAAAGTTAGATTAATATTTATTTGACCGAGTCCGGGTCCTTGATACGACTCAGAAGAATGCTGTTGTGTGTCCAGGCCTGGAGGTCAGAGGGTTTGCCGATGTCCACGACCAGTAATGAGGCCTGTAAGCTTTACGACGCTGCCCTGAATCAGGTAAAGCACCTTCAGGATTTATCTAAACTCAAAGCATTGAACTAGAACCATTCATTTAGTCATTTATGTAACACATTCATTTAATAACACAGGCACAGACTCTCCCCATTGTAAATAATCCACACATTTGTGATTCTGTTTTTATCATTTTGCTTATTTTGAGCTTCTAACTGGCAATAGTGTTGCAGAGAAAGTTTAGAATGTGTTTATGACTATTATTTCATTAATTTTGCAGTACGTCAAATGGCGCAACGATGAGACACTGGGAGGATTGGAGGGCTGTCTCTCTGCTCTTCAAACTGCTGACCCCAACTTTGGTAAATTTCAACATTATTATCTACTACTGATAAGACACCGAGTCTGGGTCCTCAAAGGGCCGTGTGGATCCAGGTTTTCTCTCCAACCAAGCAGGAGCGCAACAAACTCTCCAGGATAAAGGCCACTCGCAGGATACACTCGCACGGCGCTGGTTACGGTTACGTTGGACCTACGTAACCGCAGTTGGACCTACGTAACCGCAGTTGGACCTACTTAACCGCAGTCGGACCTACGTAGCCGCAGTCGGACCTACGTAGCCGCAGTCGGACCTACGTAGCCGCAGTCGGACCTACGTAGCCGCAGTCGGACCTACGTAGCCGCAGTCGGACCTACGTAGCCGCAGTCGGACCTACGTAGCCGCAGTTGGACCTACGTAGCCGCAGTCGGACCTACGTAGCCGCAGTCGGACCTACGTAGCCGCAGTTGGACCTACGTAGCCGCAGTTGGACCTACGTAGCCGCAGTCGGACCTACGTAGCCGCAGTCGGACCTACGTAACCGCAGTTGGACCTACTTAACCGCAGTTGGACCTACGTAGCCGCAGTCGGACCTACGTAACCGCAGTCGGACCTGCGTAACCGCAGTCGGAGCTACGTAACCGCAGTCGGACCTACGTAACCGCAGTCGGACCTACGTAACCGCAGTCGGACCTACGTAGCCACAGTCGGACCTACGTAGCCACAGTCGGACCTACGTAGCCACAGTCGGTGGTACAGTCGTGCGTTCCCCTTGCAGAGTTTTGAAGAGAATGTTGTAATCCCACACCCAACCACATGATGGCGATCTCACAGGAGTTTAAACCAAAGCTTCTTTCTCCTCTTCAGAACAAAAACAAAGTGAAGCTGTTGGAGATCATTACATGTGTTTCTACTGTAGGTTTATGTGACCGTTCTAAACTCATCGTTTCAACTCATTTAACTGTGATGCTGTGAATAAAGACACAGTTCTGTTGGAAACATAGTTATTATTATTATATATTATATATATTATTACTATATTAGTTATTATTATTACATATAATATTACTATATTTATTTAGTTATTATTAAAGTTTTTTCAGCACAAACAGAAAAACAATAAGTGGTAAATATCTGAGACAAACATGAACTATTTACAAGAACAGGACGAACGCAACAGACGCAGCTAGATATACGTTAGATATATGTTAAATATAAGTTATATGTTAGATATGTTATAAGATATATATGTTAGATATGTTATACTATATGGTAGATATATATTATATATATAACATATTATGTTAGATATAAGTCATAACATATGGTAGATATAAGTTATATATGTTAGATTTATGTTAGATATATGTTACGTATAAGTTATATATGTTAGATATTAACGGCTTATTAACCGAGGTCTGTATGGAGAAATATTTCTCTGCACAGACCGAGGTTAATAAATGTTTTATTATATGACTCTCGTCTGTGTCCAACGCTTTTGAGATATTTGAAGAATGTTCATGTCCGACTTGGTTTTGTGTGATACGCGCTGTGGACAGATTGTCATGGTAACGGTCCGAGATGGGAAAATATCAGACCGGTAATCAACCAATCAGAGCGTGCGTAGGGTCCAAGTCATATAATATATAACTTGTATATGTTAGATATATAACTTATATAAGTTAGATATGCAACAGAACTCTAGTCCACAGTCTCCTGTCGATCAGGCTCTGAGCCCAAACTGCTTTTCCTTCGGTTCTTTTGAAGCTTGAAGCTCTCTGCTCCAAAGTGCCTCGTTCATGCTCCTGCAGCCGCTCCGTGCATCCGCCCAAGACACACACCAGGACCAATCACAGCGGAGCTTCTCTCACACCAGGACCAATCACAGCGGAGCTTCTCTCACACACGGACCAATCACAGCGGAGCTGCCTTACGGCGGCGGCCACGTAGTTAGACATTTTCGAAGGTGCGCAGCAGGCACCGTAAGGGCCTCGCGGTGATCCACACGTTGAGCAAGTGACGTCACCACCGTAAGCTCCGCCCTGCGCGACGACACACTAGGCTTTAGACTGATGGCAACCAACATTCTATGACAATTAAATAAGATAAGTTAGTCCTTTGATTGTCCCGCAGCAGAGAAAGTGCAATGTCATGTTATTTAAGATCATACATAAAGTCACTTTCAGGATAAGGCACTAGTGCAGTACTCTGTAGTCAGCAGGAGGTATTTACTGATGTTTATTATGTACTGTAGCAGCAGAGAATACGACCAGAATAAACAATAGTAATAATAATAATAATTATAGCAGCAGGTGAGTGGCAGGTGTACAGACTCAGCAGTTCTCATTGTACAGTCTGACAGCAGCAGGAAGCAACGTTTCTCCAGGTGCCGGTCTGGGTCTGGTCCTGGATCTGAGTTGAGTCCGTTTGGTTTTAACACCAGAGAAGAGCAAGTTCTAGTTGCCATAGAAACACACACTTTTAGCATTGAGTAGCATTTCAAAAAACTGTATTGTGTGTTCACGTTTAATTTGTTTAGAATTGTATTTTTTATGTATAATTATTTTTAAGTATTGTTCTTGTTTTGTGTCATAATAAGAAACTGTCAAACATTGTAAAATATCAATAAAGAAAAAACACTTTTCTGCTTGACAATGTGTGTTTCACAAAAAGGCTGTTTTCTCCATATCTGGGGCAGGAAACAGCATTTTGTTTTACTCTCAATTGCTAAAAAACTAAAAGGGGTAGAAACTTACTTTTTTAAATGAAAGGCAAGAGACAGAGCTTTCATTTGGTTTGTTTCATACTTGTGTCCACCGAGGGCTCACATTTATATGAGGTTTGAGGCTTGTTTACGGCTGGCAATAAAAACATTGACGTCGGATATAGATTGACGTCGATAGTGTCAATGGCAGTGAATGAGTTAAAAACATAAAAATAATGACGTCGTGTGGGGAAGCTGGCCCGAGAGTCAAAAAAAGACGGCATATTAATATTTATAAAACATCAGATTTATTTTGCACAAGCACAACCAACAGTCCTGTCCCTTGGGTGTGACTTCCCTGCCGACGTTCACCTGTGAGCTTTTATCATTGTGGCTCCGCCCACATGGGTTGGCCCACAAAACAAAATGGCTGTCTGAGACGCACCCTCTTCAACAGATACAAAATACATTCATTAAACGGGTCAAAGGGTTTTTATGTCCAAAAGCCTGACTCGCTCCTCATGTCATTTTGATCAAGATTGGTTTTTGACAATACCAATACCATACTTTCTGCAGTATAAGCTGCACCTGTATATAAGCCTCACCACCTAAATTTGAAAAAAAAAAAAAAATCTATTTCAAACACATATAGGCCGCACTTGAATATAAGCCGCAGGTTTTCATGTTTTAATGTAGCGGAGACATGGGCACAACATGATTTAATGACCAGGTATTTGGCAGATTCACCGTTAGCCTTCATGCTAACCGTACTCATTCACCAGTCTGACTATATCGGACAAAAAACAAGTTCCTACAGCTGCCCAGAAACTCTGCTCTACCACAATGAAAAACTCATATTATCTGGGTTCAAAGCGTTGAAAAAAGTAGTGTCTGTCAGTCCAGAAATGCCTGGAACAAGAACAGCACAACGATGATAAAAAGAGATAAAAGAGAGGACTAATAAAGGTCTCATTCATACTCTACTGTTGCAGATACGCACAGGAGTTAGCCTCTATCTTTACATTCTCAGTACATTATGGTATAGATTTCATTGTATCACTGCTGTATAGTGCTTTTACTCGCTTTCCATTTCAATAGTTCAACCTTGCACTGCAAAAAATGATCGAATGTGAGGTTATACTGTAAATAAAAACCACCTACATAACATTTCAGCGAGAATGTCGAATGTTTTTTTTACCTTATTTTGCACATTCCGACTGTCTTAAAACAAGATTTGTCTCATTCCAAGGAGACATTTCTTGTATCTTTTAAAAACAAGATAATTTTTGGTTTGTCTCATTGGCAAATCTTAATTTTTTTGGGTTAAATTAAGATGCATTCTGCGCCATTCGAGCCATTTTTGACTTACTTTTCATCACTTTTTGCAGGAATGTGAGTAGAAATGGCGACGCATTGTTTGCAGATTTCTTGGCTTGTGATTGGTCTGATGTGTTCTTCCTGCAGTGATGGGTCATGTGATCGGCACAGGGCTGCAGCTGGTCAGCACCTCCACCTCCCCCAGACTGGACCAGACTCTGTCCAGCGCCGTGAAGAGGACCGTGGACCTGTCCCAGAGCCAAGACCTCACGCCCAGAGAGAGGCTCCACGTCCAGGCCATGCAGCTGTTCTCTCGAGGGTAGAAATCAATGTTGAATATGGAGCTTTTCTCACTGTGTCTCACTGAAAGTCCAATTAAAGCTGAGGTATGCAACTTCAAAACACCAACAATGGAACCATGTAATTAAATCTTCAAATGATAAAATATTATAGTAGTAGTTGCTTGAATCGAGTGGGGTTTTTTAATCTTATTTTGAGTACATTCTGACAATGGGACAAAGCTTATTTCTCAGTGTCTCATTCCAAGGGAGACATTTCTTGTCCAGACATCCATCCATCTTCTTCCCCTTAATCCATTTCTTGGTCGGGGCAGTGGCAGCCAATCCACAGAGCACCAGCCGCTCACTGATCCTACTGCAGCTGCTGCTCTGTCAGCGTTAGCATAGCCTTGGTCTTTCAGCAGGGGCTTCTGGCAAAGTGGGGGTGAAGGGTCTTGCCCAAGGACAGAAGGACAGCAGACATCAGTGGGTGTCGGTGGGCAAGGTCTCATGGTGGGCTCGAACCACGACCTTCAGACTCAAAGGCCGATGCTCGACCAACTGAGCCACTGTCGCCAACATTTCTTGTATATTTTGCTTTGTCACATTTTCAAATCTTGTTTTAAGGCTCAGTCAGAACGTGACTGAGCGGCTGCTGGTTCTATCACTAGTTTTCACATTCATGTTTATTCTTGGCCTCTGTCAAGTCACGAGTGAATAATCATTCGTTCAGCTGTCAGCCCAAAGCCTCAAATAACGACTCACAGGGATCATTCTTTAAAGTATGCAAACTAGTTTTCTAATGAGACGAAGGTGGCGTGTTGTGGTCTGATTTGTCGAAACTTTTAAGACTCTTTCTTGACTCCTTCTGTTGCCCATACAAAAAAACAATCTTTATTGTAGAATAAAAGTGAGTTACTTTCGCTTTAATGCATAAAATGACATTCCCTTCATAAAAGCACAGTTTCCAAAACCTCATCTCGCACATGTTTCGCTTGTTAGCTCACAATAACAATAGCATTTCCTAAAAAAATATTTTTAATTTCTCATTTCATGCTTTAAGTTTTATGTGAAAACCCATTATATTTCTAATAAGACGCTGTTTAACAAAAGCATTCGTGGTCAAAGAAATGAAAGTAGTGAATTCAAAGCTTTTTTGTCTGATTTCAACCTCTCATGACACAGATAAAGTGACAGACAAGGAGCTACTTCAAATCTCTCTTATTTCTTTATCCTTCATTCTCAAGATGTTCTTCAAATCATCTGCCATCTGTTTTTTAAAGCTTTTGATTTCTGAAAAGCTGTAGCGCTGCTTCTGTTCCTGCTTGACCTTCTCTCTCTCACTTGTAGAAACTTCCCCAAAGCTTGTGACGCCTGGGAAGACATCCTGCTGGACCATCCCACTGACCTGCTGGCCCTCAAGTTCGCCCACGACGCTTACTTCTACATGGGCGCGCAGACCCGCATGAGGGACTCAGTGGCCCGGGTGTTACCGCACTGGAAACGCCACACACCCATGTCCAGGTAGGACGCAAATACGGCAAATGATACACACCCATGTCCAGGTGCGACGCAAGTACGGCAAATGATACACACCCATGTCCAGGTACGACGCAAGTACGGCAAATGATACACACCCATGTCCAGGTGCGACGCAAGTACGGCAAATGATACACACCCATGTCCAGGTACGACGCAAGTACGGCAAATGATACACACCCATGTTCAGGTACGACGCAAGAACGGCAAATGATACACATCCATGTCCAGGTACGACGGACAGCGCGGCAAATGATACACACCCATGTCCAGGTACGACGCAAGTACGGCAAATGATACACACCCATGTCCAGGTACGACGCAAGTACGGCAAATGATACACACCCATGTCCAGGTACGACGCAAGTACGGCAAATGATACACACCCATGTCCAGGTGCGACGCAAGTACGGCAAATGATACACACCCATGTCCAGGTACGACGCAAGTACGGCAAATGATACACACCCATGTCCAGGTACGACGCAAGTACGGCAAATGATACACACCCATGTCCAGGTGCGACGCAAGTACGGCAAATGATACACACCCATGTCCAGGTACGACGCAAGTACGGCAAATGATACACACCCATGTCCAGGTACGACGCAAGTACGGCAAATGATACACACCCATGTCCAGGTACGACGGACAGCGCGGCAAATGATACACACCCATGTCCAGGTACGACGCAAGTACGGCAAATGATACACACCCATGTCCAGGTACGACGGACAGCGCGGCAAATGATACACACCCATGTCCAGGTACGACGCAAGTACGGCAAATGATACACACCCATGTCCAGGTACGACGCAAGTACGGCAAATGATACACACCCATGTCCAGGTGCGACGCAAGTACGGCAAATGATACACACCCATGTCCAGGTACGACGGACAGCGCGGCAAATGATACACACCCATGTCCAGGTACGACGCAAGTACGGCAAATGATACACACCCATGTCCAGGTGCGACGCAAGTACGGCAAATGATACACACCCATGTCCAGGTACGACGCAAGTACGGCAAATGATACACACCCATGTCCAGGTGCGACGGACAGCGCGGCAAATGATACACACCCATGTCCAGGTGCGACGGACAGCGCGGCAAATGATACACACCCATGTCCAGGAGCGACGGACAGCGCGGCAAATGATACACACCCATGTCCAGGTGCGACGGACAGCGCGGCAAATGATACACACCCATGTCCAGGTGCGACGGACAGCGCGGCAAATGCTACACAAGACTTTCCTTGTTTTGGACCTGCACGACACATGTTTTATCGAGGGCTGTCAAAACTATTGCGTTAACTCACAATAATTAAATGTTTCATTAACGCAAAATATTACCGCTTTAACGCATGTCCGAATGACTATTATTATCAATAATATCACTCAGAGCCGCGGACACATGCCTGTGTGAGATGGCAACAGAGCAGGTCTCTGGGTATTCCGCCTTCTCGGGCACGCCCTGGTGGCGGCTGTGAGCCGCTCACAACAACACGGTGAACTTATGTGGTCACATAAGACCAAACCTGCCACAGAACTATTCTCTGCATGTTGTGTTTGTGTCTCTGCAACCTGTGTATAACCTGTGCATAACCTGTGTATAACCTGTGCATAACCTGTGCATAACCTGTGCACACAAATACTGTCTCCTCCTGAAAACTAAACTAAACTAAACTAAACTCGCTAAATTAAAGCTGGGGTACGTAGATTTTCCCCTTTCATTAACAGCTCATTTTGGTTGTGTCCAAAGTAAAAGGTTGTGAATCTAACAGATTGAAGTATATTTGCTCTGAATGACAATGTGTCTCTGATAATCTCATTTAACTTCAATTGGAGTGGATTTGAAATAGAATGTTAAAAATGGGATTAATCGTGAGTTAATTAACCATTTCTGTGCAATTAATCAAATAAACATTTTAATCGTTTGATTAGGGCCAGTTTTATCTTATAAATCAATATAACGGACAAACAGCAGGTGCGTGGTTTGAAAAGGGGTTGGATGAAGCAAAAACACACAAAACTATACGCACGCACGCACACACACACACAGACACAGACACACGCACGCCCACATGCGCACACACATGTGCACACACACACACACACACACACACACACACACACACACACACACACACACACACACACACACACATTTTCTTATGAACCAATATAACAAACCGCAGGTGCATAGCATCAAACTCTTTATTTTTTCCGTACTTGTTTTTTAAATTGTTTTTTAATGTAATCTGTTTGTTTTGAAGTCCTCCTCTCTCCATGTGCTGTTCTTTTTAATGAATTGCTCTCTGTACAGTCACAATCTGGAACAAATCGGACAAAAGATTATATAATGTACGATTAATTAGAAAGTGTCCTGTGTCTAACTTCACCTGAACCAGACTTTAGATTCTTACAAATCCACTATTTAGGCATAAAATGACTCACATGGTGTTGAATTCAAAGTTAAACCTGGGTAGACTGTGCGGCGCTGCCTGCATGTGAAAACCTGATCCTGGGAGACGCTTGTAGCTAAGCAGGGCAGAGCATGGTTGATTTTGTGATGGGAGACCTCAGAGTGAGGTGAAAGACTCCGCAACAGCGTCGGTGTTGGACACATTTCTACTTTATTCAGACTCGAGCGGTGAGCAAACAAACAAAACAATGAAATGAATGAAATCGGTGGCTTTAGTAACTGAAGTAACTGAAGTAAGAGTTTATTGGGATCTGGCGGCGATGGGCGGCGTCCTGCGGTGGTTCATTATGCTCACAGTCAGAGGTCTGTCTTCATGAAACCACAAAGACCCAATATGTTGTTCACAGGTGTTTAAACAGACTTCAGGAAGGTCTAATTTAACTTTATTTTGTAATCTTATTTAACAGAGTTTCAGAGAAGCGGTCGAGATAGAAACAATGAGAGAAAATAAGTTGGGATAAATTTTAAAGTCATAACGGTTTATTTGTTAATGTTTGTCTTGTCTGTATGTTTTAAATTGAACCTAGAGTCTGTAAAAAAATTGAATTGAATACATCTGAATCTTCATACAGATGTATTCAATAAGCCAACAAAAACTGATTATATTATAAACAAAACCAAAGAACAAATTCTGGGAAATGAAGCGGACAGAGGAACTATTGTGGAACAGTAAACTCTGTCTGTGAACCCTCAACAGACTTAAAGGCTCTAAACAAGTGACGGTGACGACGCTAGCCTCATCTCCCGCCGCAGGTCCTTCCAGAGCCGGGGAGCTTGGACCGAACAGGCTCGGTCACCTCTGGTCCGTGCAAAGGGGTTAAAAAGATCAGAAATGTAGCTTGTGCTTTAAAAGTGATCCGTTAAATATTTCAAGATAAGTTCTAAAACACAACGGGAGCCAGTGGGGTCGTGCTGAAGCAGGGGTAATGTGCTCCCGTCTGTTAGTAAAAGCAAAGGAAACATTTCCTAAACATTTGGGTTCGAGCCCACCTCAAGACTCTCTCCACCGACTCCCACTGTCTGCTGTCGTTGTGTCGTTGGGCAAGACACTTAACCTCTGGGAACAGCAGGTGCCACAGTGGGGCGGCTGTAAAGTGCCAAACTGTGGTTGTGTCCTTAGGCAAGACACTTCCCCCACATTAGAATGAGTCTGGTGTGTGTGTGAATGGTTGGTGGTGGAGGGAGGGGCCGATGGCACAGACTGGTTGCCTCGCTTCTGTCAGTGTGCCCCAGGGCAGCTGTGGCTACAGTAGTTTATCACCACAGTGTTTGGAGAGAGAGAATAATGATGTGAAGCGTCTTTGAGTGTCCAAAAAACCGCTGTATAGAAATATTAGACATGAATAATAATGTTGTTTTGTTGTTTTGTCATCCAACTTAGGAACTGCTCCTAGATGTAATTTGTCCATAAAGTTTTATCTAAATAGCGATAACCAATCTCATGCATTTCAACTTGTGGTCAAATTGCTAAAGGACATTACCTAAATCACTATCCCTCTCTCTTGCACTTTCTCTCTTGGATTTCGTGACAGACTGTTTTTGTTTTTCCCGCACAGCTATCTGAATGGTCTGTATTCATTCGGTCTGCTGGAGACTCACTTCTATGACCAGGCGGAGAAAGTGGCTCTTCAGGTGAGATTCTCCCTTCTCTTCACCGCCCTTTTGTTTACAATTACTTTGCCTCTTTCTGTGCGATTGGCAGTAAGTAATAAATGTCAACATGTTCAGGCTAATGGCTTCCACTCACTGCTCTTCTCTGGGATGTGATAAAGAGCTAGTCCTTAGCCGTAATGATCTAATGCGTTGCTGCTCTATACAACATCAGACAACCATCATAGGACAAAATGGAAGCCAGTAGCGCCCAGGGAGTTTAACAGTCATTTTCAAAGAGCTATTTCGTGGGTGGTATGAAGCCAGACACATCTTTTATGCTTCTTGCAGGGACTCTCTCTGGTTCCCGGTGACGCCTGGGCTGTCCACGCCGTTGCCCACGTCTACGAGATGAAAGCCGAAGTGGATAAAGGCCTCCAGTTCATGCAGGGCCGGGAGAATGAGTGGCAGGTGGAGTAATCTGTAACCTTGCTCACCCTTCTGTCTGTGTCAGAGTCGACGGCTAAGGAGCTGTTTACACGGAGACGCTGTGACAATCAGACATGACAGTGCAAAAAGCGATGAAAAATAAGTCAAAAAGGACTCAAATTTGGTAAAATGTATCTTAATTTGAGCAAAACTATCTTGTTTTAAAAATATACAAGAAACGTCTCCATTGAAATGAGAAAATAAAGCAACAGTTCTTAAAATTAGACTAAATGGCTTCATCCCATTGGAGAGTCTTGTTTTAACACAGTCAGATTGTGCTCAACATAAGATAAAAACCATTCGATTCAAGCCATTTTTACCAAGCCATTAAGTTTTTGCAGTGTAGAGTTGTTTGGCCTTTTGTTCACACGACCTCCAACAATTCTGAACTAAAGTGAAACATTGCTGATTCACTGTGAGGCGGTGGGCATAACGCAGCCGTGTGATCAAAAAGGGGCGAGCTCTCTGCCTGCGATGACCTCACCACGTCCCCACTCCATACATCTGGACCGGCGTAGTAACCGTGAACAAACGTAAACTATGGCGGCGGATAAACTTAAGCTATGTGGGCTTCAGCTGTTACACAGAGGAGCAATTCTACTTCTACGTCCGTCCAAACAAAACCACGTAAAACTGCAAAAAGTGATAAAATATTGGGTAACAATGTCTTGAACAGAGGGGTCTTTATGTTAATTTGAGCACATTCTGTCTTAAAACAAGATTCTCCAACGGGACCAAGCCCTTTAGTCTGATTTCAAGAACTGCTTTATTTTCTCATTCCAAAGGAGACATTTCTTGTATCTTTTTTAAAATTTTCTTAAATTAAGATACATTTTTTGCCAAATCTTAAAAATGTTTGACTTATTTTTCATCACTTTTTGCAGTGTAGTTGCCATTTCCATTTTCATTACTGTTAAATGCAGAATGTTGTTGGTGCATTCTTTTTCTGCTTTGCGGTGGTCTGATGAGGACGTTAGTGGAAGGTATACGATGGGTGTTGCGTTGTAAAGTTCCGCTGCCTTCTACTGGCCGGGCGTTAGAATTACATTATTTTTTACTGTTTATTTATGTTTTATTTGTTTAACTCTTAGTCTTAATAATTTCTTGGCTGCGTCTCCGTGTAAACCGGCCCAAACACTGCTCAAACAGCCTGACTTTACAATTGTATTTATTTAACAGGTTTCTGATATGCTGGCCAGCCACAACTATTGGCACTGGGCTCTATACTTCATCGAGAAGGTAAAGGTTTTAATGAGTTTTCTCAGTCAAGCACATAGCTGCGAGGGAATCCTAGAGCCTCTATTCATTCACGATACCCATGGATACCTTTGGGTAATCTAAAGTATTCTGCAGTTGATTATAGCGCAAGATTAATTTGTGTTTGTATCTGCGGAACCCTCTCTATCAGCAGGCTATCTCTGCATTCCGGAGCGATTCTAATTCTTTGTCTCCTGCTCTGGGTCCACAGGGAGAGTACGAGGCTGCGCTGAATATTTTCGACTCGCAGGTCAGTGTGTTTTGGCCTCGTCAGAATACGGGACACTGATTACGGATGGCACATGTAGGCTGCGTCCGTACAAACCAGGGCTAGGGGGACGCACGCTAAGGGCACTATGTTGTAGCACTTTTTGTGTGTGTCGGGTCAGAAGGACAAGTGTGAACAAACGTACAGGAACCATGCACACATCCTCTGATCATTATTTAATCGCACACACTGCAGAGGCCGCGGAGCACTTAGTCGCCCTGGTGCCGTTCAGAGACGTTGCGTAATGTTGCTCTAGACTGACACATGTTTGAACACAGTGGCACGTTCTCACATCATGGAAGAGCCATCAAAGTTTAAGGCCCGTCTCAGTGGGATCCACGTTGACAGTCTGTTTCTGTTCTGTCGTTGGTGGAGAGTGGTCTTCTTTACTGTTCATGTTCTCGGCTCTTTTTTTAGGTGTTTCCTCGTGGGAAGGCCTCGGGAGCGATGCTGGACGTTGTGGACGCCTGCTCCATGCTTTACAGACTTGAAATGGAAGGTAGGATGTACAAACAAGATCGAAACACTGCAAAACATGATCAAATATGAGGTCATAAATGCTTGAATCCAGTGTTTATATTCTGACTGATTCTCCGATGGGACAAAGACATTTAGTCTTATTTCAAGAACTGTTGCTTTATTTTCTCAAGGGAGACATTTGTTGTATCTTTTTAAAACAAGATCATTTTGCTTTGTCACGTTGGTAAATCTTGTTTTAAGGCAGTCAAACTGTGCTCAAATTAATTAATTATTTTTGGCTTGTTTTTCATCATTTTTTTTACTGTGAATAAATATAACTAAACATGTACAACAGGTGAGGCTGAAAGAGTGACTGTGGGACTCCAGATGGAAATGTGCGACTTACAGTCTGGTGGATTTACAGCTCCTGTTGTTCATTAATATGCACTTTCCTATTGTTAAAGATGGTATAAACTACAGTGCCTGGACAAAGACAACAGACAAGGATCATTAATACTTGTAACACAAGGAGCACACATGGTCCCGGCACAGCTCTGATCCTGGTGCTGTGACCATGTGTGCACTGAATGTCACATGTCTATTTATTTAGACAAAAACACACCAACATCACGACCACATTATTGTCACTCCAGAGATTCCATTTGGTCCAAACCATCCGTCTGTTGACACAGTTCAAACATTTTAGCCTAAAAAGGTTTTCAGTTTTATCTCACGCTGACAACCCAAAAGTCACTTCACAACCTAAACTTGTGACGTATGGACATCCATTACCAACATGAAAGAGAACGGTCAGAAAGTAGCCCACTGACCTGTTAACATGCATTCACCTTCACATTCAGCTTAATCACAGTGAACTCTGACAACACAGTTAGTTTAGAGACAATGCATTAAATATTCATTAAAATGATATAACTTTTATAACTCTATTCTCACCTATCCATATAAAAGAATGAATACAAATGTTAAAACAATCGACCTGCAAACACCAGTCTATGGCTCTGAACTGCGGCATGTCAGATTCAGTTTATTTGCCATTTGCAGTAAAACCACTGTGGAATAACTGCCCAGACTACCCCAGTGTGCACCAGGACCTTTTTTCTGATATTTATTATGAAAAAGAATGCTCTTGGACTGTTCTTTTTCATAAAGAATATATCCAAAAGATAAACGTTACTGGATCACTATCCAGGCCTGGGTATAATTATTTATTACTTAACACATTGTCGACACATTGATAATTCCTCTTCGTTAGTAAAATGTAGAGGACACATTTTGACAACGATACTATTCATTTTCAGATGATTATGTATTTCATGGCCGCTGTAGAACTCTGATAAAAACAGCACAAGCCAAAGTGTAGCTGTAGATATTTTTATCTGCCATGAACAATTTTAGATAAATGTTCTTTGTTTAGTTTCAGACAAATGGCTAACGAGAAGCTATCATTCCCCACAGTGCATCTCATTATCCTGACACCTGCAGCGGAGCATCGGAAATGTGTATAATGGCTCTACTTTCATCTTCAGTTTTTAATTTAAAAGTTTATTACTCCACTGCAATGATCCATTAGTTTCTAAATGAAGGAGGTCGGTGTTTAAGACGCCGGACCAAGAACTGCTCATGTTTGTTTTTGACAAAACACATGTGTGTACATGTGTGTGTATACATGTATGTGAACGTGTGTGTGTATACATGTTTGTGTATACATGTTTGTGTGTACATGTTTGTGTATACATGTGTGTGTATACGTGTGTGTATACTTGTTTGCAGTGTAGAAATCCCGTTTGTCTGTTTCAGGAGTGTGTGTGAAAGAACGCTGGCGTGAGTTGTTCCAGATCACGCGGCCGCACACTGACGATCATGTGACCCTGTTTAACGACGTGCACTTCCTCATGGCTTCACTGGGGGCGAAAGACAGCGGGACGTCCCACAGGCTGCTCCAGGGACTGCAGGACTTGGCCCTGTGAGTTTGGACACATTTATTTTATCTTATTAATTTTATTTGGAAAGGGACATCGCTGTAAATACATCAGATTGTAGCTTTGTTTTTGTGATTGGAGAAACCAGACACGGGGAGAACATGCAAACTCTACACAGAAAGGTCCTGGATTTGGAATGGAACCCAGGACTTTCTCTGTGTTCCCTAAAAACATTACTGAAAACTTTGTCATGAGCTCGAGTGCACACTGCGATTAGTCTTGCACAGTTACTCCAACATGGTTTTACTGCAAACGGTAAACAATCTCAATCTTCAATCTCGATCTTCTTCCCACCGCCCTGCAGCCCGAGCGCTTTTCAAACAGGAATTTCCCCGACAACGTTACGTAAGAGCTGCGTAAGAGCTGCGTAAGAGCTGCGTAAGAGCTGCGTAAGAGCTGCGTAAGAGCTGCGTAAGAGCTGCGTAAGAGCTGCGTAAGAGCTGCGTAAGAGCTGCGTAAGAGCTGCGTAAGAGCTGCGTAAGAGCTGCGTAAGAGCTGCGTAAGAGCTGCGTAAGAGCTGCGTAAGAGCTGCGTAAGAGCTGCGTAAGAGCTGCGTAAGAGCGAGGAGGAGGAAGGAGACGTCTGAGTGAGGGGGGGTCTGAGTGAGGGGGGTCTGAGTGAGTGGGGTCTGAGTGAGGGGGGTCTGAGTGAGGGGGGTCTGAGTGAGGGGGGTCTGAGTGAGGGGGGGTCTGAGTGAGAGGGGTCTGAGTGAGGGGGGGTCTGAGTGAGGGGGGTCTGAGTGAGTGGGGTCTGAGTGAGGGGGGGTCTGAGTGAGGGGGGTCTGAGTGAGTGGGGTCTGAGTGAGGGGGTCTGAGTGAGGGGGGTCTGAGTGAGGGGGGGTCTGAGTGAGGGGGGGTCTGAGTGAGAGGGGGTCTGAGTGAGGGGGGGTCTGAGTGAGGGGGTCTGAGTGAGAGGGGTCTGAGTGAGGGGGGTCTGAGTGAGGGGGGTCTGAGTGAGGGGGGTCTGAGTGAGGGGGGTCTGAGTGAGGGGGGTCTGAGTGAGGGGGGGTCTGAGTGAGAGGGGGTCTGAGTGAGGGGGGGTCTGAGTGAGGGGGGTCTGAGTGAGGGGGGTCTGAGTGAGGGGGGTCTGAGTGAGAGGGGTCTGAGTGAGAGGGGTCTGAGTGAGGGGGGTCTGAGTGAGGGGGGGTCTGAGTGAGTGGGGTCTGAGTGAGTGGGGTCTGAGTGAGGGGGGGTCTGAGTGAGGGGGGTCTGAGTGAGGGGGGGCCTGAGTGAGGGGGGTCTGAGTGAGGGGGGTCTGAGTGAGGGGGGGTCTGAGTGAGGGGGGTCTGAGTGGGGGGGGGTCTGAGTGAGGGGGGTCTGAGTGAGGGGGGTCTGAGTGAGTGGGGTCTGAGTGAGTGGGGTCTGAGTGAGGGGGGGTCTGAGTGAGGGGGGTCTGAGTGAGGGGGGGCCTGAGTGAGGGGGGTCTGAGTGAGGGGGGTCTGAGTGAGGGGGGGTCTGAGTGAGAGGGGGTCTGAGTGAGAGGGGGTCTGAGTGAGGGGGGTCTGAGTGAGGGGGGGTCTGAGTGAGTGGGGGTCTGAGTGAGGGGGGGTCTGAGTGAGGGGGGGTCTGAGTGAGGGGGGGTCTGAGTGAGTGGGGGTCTGAGTGAGAGGGGGTCTGAGTGAGAGGGGGTCTGAGTGAGGGGGGTCTGAGTGAGGGGGGGTCTGAGTGAGGGGGGTCTGAGTGAGGGGGGGTCTGAGTGAGTGGGGGTCAGAGTGAGAGGGGTCTGAGTGAGAGGGGGTCTGAGTGAGGGGGGGTCAGAGTGAGGGGGGTCTGAGTGAGTGGGGTCTGAGTGAGAGGGGGTCTGAGTGAGTGGGGGTCTGAGTGAGTGGGGGTCTGAGTGAGAGGGGTCTGAGTGAGAGGGGTCTGAGTGAGGGGGGTCTGAGTGAGGGGGGGTCTGAGTGAGTGGGGTCTGAGTGAGTGGGGTCTGAGTGAGGGGGGGTCTGAGTGAGAGGGGTCTGAGTGAGAGGGGGTCTGAGTGAGGGGGGAGTGTCTGAGTGAGAGGGGTCTGAGTGAGAGGGGGTCTGAGTGAGGGGGGGTCTGAGTGAGAGGGGTCTGAGTGAGGGGGGTCTGAGTGAGAGGAGTCTGAGTGAGGGGGTCTGAGTGAGGGGGGGTCTGAGTGAGTGGGGGTCTGAGTGAGGGGGGGTCTGAGTGAGAGGGGTCTGAGTGAGAGGGGTCTGAGTGAGAGGGGTCTGAGTGAGGGGGGGTCTGAGTGAGTGGGGGTCTGAGTGAGGGGGGGTCTGAGTGAGAGGAGTCTGAGTGAGGGGGGTCTGAGTGAGGGGGGGTCTGAGTGAGTGGGGGTCTGAGTGAGGGGGGTCTGAGTGAGAGGGGTCTGAGTGAGAGGGGGCTGAGTGAGAGGGGTCTGAGTGAGGGGGGGTCTGAGTGAGGGGGGTCTGAGTGAGGGGGGGTCTGAGTGAGGGGGGGTCTGAGTGAGGGGGGGTCTGAGTGAGGGGGGTCTGAGTGAGGGGGGTCTGAGTGAGGGGGGGTCTGAGTGAGGGGGGTCTGAGTGAGGGGGGGTCTGAGTGAGGGGGGGTCTGAGTGAGGGGGGTCTGAGTGAGAGGGGTCTGAGTGAGGGGGGGTCTGAGTGAGGGGGGGTCTGAGTGAGGGGGGTCTGAGTGAGGGGGGTCTGAGTGAGGGGGGTCTGAGTGAGTGGGGGTCTGAGTGAGGGGGGGTCTGAGTGAGAGGGGGTCTGAGTGAGAGGGGTCTGAGTGAGGGGGGGTCTGAGTGAGGGGGGTCTGAGTGAGGGGGGGTCTGAGTGAGGGGGGGTCTGAGTGAGGGGGGGTCTGAGTGAGGGGGGTCTGAGTGAGGGGGGTCTGAGTGAGGGGGGGTCTGAGTGAGTGGGGGTCTGAGTGAGGGGGGGTCTGAGTGAGAGGGGTCTGAGTGAGGGGGGTCTGAGTGAGGGGGGGTCTGAGTGAGGGGGGGTCTGAGTGAGGGGGGGTCTGAGTGAGGGGGGTCTGAGTGAGGGGGGTCTGAGTGAGTGGGGGTCTGAGTGAGGGGGGTCTGAGTGAGTGGGGTCTGAGTGAGAGGGGTCTGAGTGAGGGGGGGTCTGAGTGAGTGGAGTGAGTGGGGGTCAGAGTGAGTGGGGGTCTGAGTGAGGGGGGTCTGAGTGAGTGGGGTCTGAGTGAGAGGGGTCTGAGTGAGGGGGGGTCTGAGTGAGTGGGGGTCTGAGTGAGGGGGGTCTGAGTGAGTGGGGTCTGAGTGAGGGGGGGTCTGAGTGAGAGGGGGGTCTGAGTGAGTGGGGTCTGAGTGAGAGGGGTCTGAGTGAGGGGGGGTCTGAGTGAGTGGGGGTCTGAGTGAGTGGGGGTCTGAGTGAGGGGGGTCTGAGTGAGTGGGGTCTGAGTGAGGGGGGTCTGAGTGAGTGGGGTCTGAGTGAGGGGGGGTCTGAGTGAGAGGGGTCTGAGTGAGAGGAGTCTGAGTGAGGGGGGGTCTGAGTGAGGGGGGTCTGAGTGAGTGGGGTCTGAGTGAGGGGGGGTCTGAGTGAGAGGGGTCTGAGTGAGTGGGGTCTGAGTGAGGGGGGGTCTGAGTGAGGGGGGGTCTGAGTGAGTGGGGTCTGAGTGAGGGGGGTCTGAGTGAGAGGGGTCTGAGTGAGAGGGGTCTGAGTGAGGGGGGGTCTGAGTGAGTGGGGGTCTGAGTGAGTGGGGGTCTGAGTGAGTGGGGGTCTGAGTGAGAGGGGTGCTGAGTGAGGGGGGTCTGAGTGAGTGGGGGTCTGAGTGAGTGGGGGTCTGAGTGAGAGGGGTCTGAGTGAGAGGGGTCTGAGTGAGGGGGGGTCTGAGTGAGTGGGGGTCTGAGTGAGTGGGGGTCTGAGTGAGGGGGGTCTGAGTGAGTGGGGTCTGAGTGAGTGGAGTGAGTGGGGGTCAGAGTGAGTGGGGGTCTGAGTGAGGGGGGTCTGAGTGAGAGGGGTCTGAGTGAGTGGGGGTCTGAGTGAGGGGGGTCTGAGTGAGAGGGGTCTGAGTGAGTGGGGGTCTGAGTGAGGGGGGTCTGAGTGAGAGGGGTCTGAGTGAGTGGGGTCTGAGTGAGTGGGGTCTGAGTGAGGGGGGGTCTGAGTGAGAGGGGGGTCTGAGTGAGTGGGGTCTGAGTGAGAGGGGTCTGAGTGAGGGGGGGTCTGAGTGAGTGGGGGTCTGAGTGAGTGGGGGTCTGAGTGAGGGGGGTCTGAGTGAGTGGGGTCTGAGTGAGGGGGGTCTGAGTGAGTGGGGTCTGAGTGAGGGGGGGTCTGAGTGAGAGGGGGGTCTGAGTGAGTGGGGTCTGAGTGAGAGGGGTCTGAGTGAGGGGGGGTCTGAGTGAGTGGGGGTCTGAGTGAGTGGGGGTCTGAGTGAGGGGGGTCTGAGTGAGTGGGGTCTGAGTGAGGGGGGTCTGAGTGAGTGGGGTCTGAGTGAGGGGGGTCTGAGTGAGAGGGGTCTGAGTGAGGGGGGGTCTGAGTGAGGGGGGTCTGAGTGAGTGGGGTCTGAGTGAGAGGGTCTGAGTGAGAGGGGTCTGAGTGAGTGGGGGTCTGAGTGAGTGGGGTCTGAGTGAGAGGGGTCTGAGTGAGAGGGGGTCTGAGTGAGGGGGGGTCTGAGTGAGGGGGGTCTGAGTGAGTGGGGTCTGAGTGAGTGGGGTCTGAGTGAGTGGGGTCTGAGTGAGAGGAGTCTGAGTGAGGGGGTCTGAGTGAGGGGGGGTCTGAGTGAGTGGGGTCTGAGTGAGGGGGGGTCTGAGTGAGGGGGGGTCTGAGTGAGTGGGGTCTGAGTGAGGGGGGGTCTGAGTGAGAGGGGTCTGAGTGAGGGGAGTCTGAGTGAGGGGGGGTCTGAGTGAGGGGGGTCTGAGTGAGGGGGGTCTGAGTGAGGGGGGGTCTGAGTGAGTGGGGGTCAGAGTGAGAGGGGTCTGAGTGAGAGGGGGTCTGAGTGAGGGGGGGTCTGAGTGAGAGGGGTCTGAGTGAGAGGGGTCTGAGTGAGAGGGGTCTGAGTGAGGGGGGGTCTGAGTGAGGGGGGGTCTGAGTGAGAGGGGTCTGAGTGAGAGGAGTGAGTGGGGGTCTGAGTGAGTGGGGGTCTGAGTGAGGGGGGGTCTGAGTGAGAGGGGTCTGAGTGAGGGGGGTCTGAGTGAGGGGGGGTCTGAGTGAGAGGGGTCTGAGTGAGAGGAGTGAGTGGGGGTCTGAGTGAGAGGGGTCTGAGTGGGGGGGGTCTGAGTGAGGGGGGGTCTGAGTGAGGGGGGGTCTGAGTGAGAGGGGTCTGAGTGAGTGGGGTCTGAGTGAGAGGGGTCTGAGTGAGGGGGGGTCTGAGTGAGTGGGGGTCTGAGTGAGAGGGGTCTGAGTGAGAGGAGTCTGAGTGAGAGGAGTCTGAGTGAGAGGGGTCTGAGTGAGGGGGGTCTGAGTGAGGGGGGGTCTGAGTGAGGGGGGTCTGAGTGAGGGGGGTCTGAGTGAGGGGGGTCTGAGTGAGGGGGGGTCTGAGTGAGTGGGGTCTGAGTGAGGGGGGGTCTGAGTGAGGGGGGGTCTGAGTGAGGGGGGGTCTGAGTGAGAGGGGTCTGAGTGAGGGGGGTCTGAGTGAGGGGGGGTCTGAGTGAGAGGGGTCTGAGTGAGGGGGGTCTGAGTGAGGGGGGGTCTGAGTGAGGGGGGTCTGAGTGAGTGGGGTCTGAGTGAGTGGGGTCTGAGTGAGCGGGGGTCTGAGTGAGTGGGGTCTGAGTGAGGGGGGGTCTGAGTGAGGGGGGGTCTGAGTGAGGGGGGTCTGAGTGAGTGGGGTCTGAGTGAGTGGAGTTAGCGGGGGTCTCTCTGCAGCAGATGTTGCAGCAGCTGTAGCTCCTCTTCAGGGACCCTAATGCATCCTGGCAGCACCACCACAGACTGCGCCCTACATTCAGACCAGCGCTCAGCCCACACAAACTCGGTGTTATTAAAATGTCATGTTTCCAGTTGCGTAACACGTAACATGGCTAAGAGTGGGGAGTGATGCATCCTGGGGGAAAACGGCTGCTCTCAGAAGCGGAGACGCAGGTTTTGAGATTAGAAATGTCTTTTGCCATTGGGTTTTAACAAGGTTATATTTTTTTAGCCAATATATTTTTATTTGTATAAGTGAGTTAGAATGATGACAGACGCAGAACAGAAAACTACTTATAGGATCGAAAATGTCACATTGAAACTACAATGAACATTTAGATAAAATCATTTCCCAATTTTATGACTTTGACTCAACCCTTTAATAGTTAAAACTCAGACCCCCTCTCACTCAGACCCCCCTCACTCAGACCCCCCCTCACTCAGACCCCCCTCACTCAGACCCCTCTCACTCAGACCCCTCTCACTCAGACCCCACTCACTCAGTCATGAAGACTTTTAAGTACATTTACTTTGGTTTCCTGTTCGGTGGCAATCCAGAGTCTTCCGGAAAATGTGTGTTTGTTTGTGTGTACATGGTTTTGACATGGATCCTCTGGTATAAAGATTTAAAACTATTCTCAAACGCTGTTTTCCAGACCTTTGCCTAAATAAATACAAAAACATAAAGGCAGAGACAGAGGCCTGTATCGACCTTGAAAAAGTCTTGAATTTTGCGTGAAAGTCTTAATAAAGTTTGGGGAAAAAATTTATGGTAGAATTTGACAGTGTGCTCAAAGGAAGGTAGGCTATAAAACTATTATTTTGCTAACTGGTCGTGTACTGTATTAGCCTAATGGAATGATGTCCAATCAACGCTTGCCTTTTTGATTTTCGTGATGTCACTGCTAAGGTCTTGGGGGGGAAAAAAAACAGTTTTAAAAAATTCTGGAATTTTAATTTGGAAAAAGAGCAAGCACCCTGTATGGGCTTTTTATACTTCATTGTGTCTTCATCTCCAAAGCAAATTTCAAGTACCATATTAGAAAAAATAAAAAATAAATTAAAGCCGCAAGCGGCGTCGAACGGCCCTCGCCGCACCGCGCGCACCACCCCGTTCCACGCCGCCCCGCACCAAGCCACCCCACACCAAGCCACCCCGCACCAAGCCACCCCGCACCACGCCGTCCCGCATCACGCCGCCCCGCACCAAGCCGCAACGCACCGCTCCACAACGCCCCGCACTACGTCGCACCACACCGTACCACGCAGCACCGCGCATAGGAGGTGGCGCCGCCGTGTGATGATTGGTTCCCGTAGCCATAGAAGAACTTAGTCAAATTGTAATGAATATGATAAGTAGAGCTGGTTTGGCTCCCCATATAAACTTTGAATCAGTCTGTAGGGGGCGCTAATGGGCCAATTTCAAATATTTCACTTTCACCTGACCTAAACCCTGGAGTTGAACAATGGATTCAAGTTTAATGCAAATCAGACTTTGTTTGTACAAACGGGAAAAAAAATAATGTTGTCAAAAACGGCCAAAAAAAACCTCACATTTTGCCGCTCCGCTGCTCAAACAACGTTTCACTGATTAAAATTCCCTGAAGTCATTTTGAAGGTAAATGTGTTGAGATGATTTGGAACAATTTTGAGGCCAATCGGTGAAACGGCCGAGGAGGAGTCGCTTTCCAACCGACGTTTATGAAAATGATTGGTTTTCATTTTTCCAATTTGCAATGAAAGTTATGGGCTTCCTGTTTGTCAGAGGGCTTATCCATAATAACATTTTATCCATGTCTTGACTTGAGGAACATGTGTTCCATATTACATGGCTCTACGACAATTTTGACCTCGAACCCATCCCATAGGCATTTTTAAATTGGCTGTTGTAGATGGCGCTATAGAGCCAATTTCAAAATTTCAACTTTCAAATGACCTAGACGCAAGAGTTAAACCATGGATTCAAGTTTTGTGCAAATCAGACTTTGTTTGTGCAAACGGAAAAAAAATTTCTATTGTCAAAAACTGAAAAAAAATATGCCACTTTTTGGCGCTCTGCTGCTCAAACAACGTTTCACTGATCAAAATTCCCTGAAGTCATTTTGATTGTACATGTGTTGAGATGATGTGGAGCGATTTTGAGGCAAATCGGTGAAACGGCCGAGGCTGGTTTGATGTTTGTGTGAGGTGTACATTTGCAATGAATGGGGAGCGTTTCTCGTCGCCACGGCAACAGGGTAAAAAATAAGCCTTGGACCCAATTGACTTTTTGAATCAAGAGGGCAAAACAGATTTATGTGCAAAATTTCAAACATTTTGAAAAAACTAAATTTGAAAATGCCCATCTAAAACTTTGAAATAGTCTGTAGGGGGCGCTAATGTGTCAATTTGAATTAATTCACTTTCAAACTACCTAGACCCTAGAGTTGAACAATGTATTAAAGTTTTGTGCAAATCAGACTTTGTTTGTGCAAACGGGAGCAAATTTAATGTTGTCAAAAACGGCCAAAAAAAGGTCACATTTTGCCGCTCCGCTGCTCGAACAATGTTTCACTGATCAAAAATCCCTGAGGTCATTTTGAAGGTACATGTGTTAAGATGATGTGGAGCAAATTTGATGCGAATCGGTGAAACGGCCGAGGAGGAGTCGCTTTCCAACCGACATGTATGAAAACTTTTGCTGTTCATTTTTCCATTTTGCAGTGAAATTTATGGGCTTCCTGTTTGTCAGGGGGCGGGGCCATAATAATATTTTTTTCTTGTCTTGACTTGAGGAACATGTGTACCAAATTTCATGTTTCTACGACAAACTTGACCTCCGAAAAGTCCCATAGGGGTATTATTTTGGCTGTTGTAGGTGGCGCTGTTCTGTCATTTTTTGAGTCCCATAAAAATAAACACCAAAATATCAAATTTTTCGCCAGGTCTGATTTTTGGGCCAAAATTAACAACTTTTCATGCATGTTCAGGGGGTCAAATTAAGGCTCAAAGTGCAGAAGAAAAAAGAAAGAAAGAAAGAAATAAATAAAATTAAAGCCGCAAGCGGCGTCGAACGGCCCTCGCCGCACCGCGCGACTCCCCGCACCGCGCCCACCCCACCGCAAGCCCCCGCACCACGCCGCCCTGCACCACGCCGCCCGCACCACGCCGCCCCGCACCAAGCCGCAACGCGCCGCTCCACAACGCCCCGCACTACGCCGCATACGCCGCACCACACGTACCACGCAGCACCGCTCAAAGGAGGTGGCGCCGCCGTGTGATGATTTGTTCCCGTAGCCATAGAAGATTGTTAGTCAAATTGTAATGAATATGATAAGTAGAGCTGGTTTGGCTCCCCATGTAAACTTTGCCTCAGTCTGTTGGGGGCGCTAATGGGCCAATTTCAAATATTTCACTTTCACCTGACCTAAACCCTGGAGTTGAACAATGGATTCAAGTTTAATGCAAATCAGACTTTGTTTGTGCAAACGGGAGCAAATTTAATGTTGTCAAAAACGGCCAAAAAAACCCTCACATTTTGCCGCTCCGCTGCTCAAAACAACGTTTCACTGATTAAAAATCCCTGAAGTCATTTTGAAGGTACATGTGTTGAGATAATTTGGAGCAATTTTGAGGCCAATCGGTGAAACGGCCGAGGAGGAGTCGCTTTCCAACCGACATGTATGAAAATGATTGGTTTTCATTTTTCCATTTTGCAATGAAATTTATGAGCTTCCTGTTTGTCAGAGGGATTAGCCATAATAACATTTTTTCCATGTCTTGACTTGAGGAACATGTGTACCAAATTACATGGTTCTACGACAATTTTGACCTCGAACCCCTCCCATAGGCATTTTTAAATTGGCTGTTGTAGGTGGCGCTATAGAGCCAATTTCAAAATTTAACTTTCAAATGACCTAGACCCAAGAGTTGAACCATGGATTCAAGTTTTGTGCCAATCACACTTTGTTTGTGCAAACGGAAGCAATTTTTCTATTGTCAAAAACTGAAAAAAAATACGCCACTTTTTGGCGCTCTGCTGCTCAAACAACGTTTCACTGATCAAAATTCCCTGAAGTCATTTTGATGGTACATGTGTTGAGATGATGTGGAGCGATTTTGAGGCGAATCGGTGAAACGGCCGAGGCTGGTTTGATGTTTGTGTGAGGTGTACATTTGCAATGAATGGGGAGCGTTTGTCGTCGCCACGGCAACAGGTAAAAAATAAGCCTTGGACCCTATTGACTTTTTGAATCAAGAGGGCAAAACAGATTTATGTGCAAAATTTCAAACATTTTGAAAAAACTAAATTTGAAAATGCCCATCTAAAACTTTGAAATAGTCTGTAGGGGGCGCTAATGTGTCAATTTGAATCAATTAACTTTCAAATGACCTAGACCCTAGAGTTGAACAATGTATTAAAGTTTTGTGCAAATCAGACTTTGTTTGTGCAAACGGGAGCAAATTTAATGTTGTCAAAAACGGCCAAAAAAAGGTCACATTTTGCCGCTCCGCTGCTCAAACAATGTTTCACTGATCAAAAATCCCTGAGGTCATTTTGAAGGTACATGTGTTGAGATGATGTGGAGCGATTTTGAGGCGAATCGGTGAAACGGCCGAGGAGGAGTCGCTTTCCAACCGACATGTATGAAAACTTTTGCTGTTCATTTTTCCATTTTGCAGTGAAATTTATGGGCTTCCTGTTTGTCAGAGGGCGGGGCCATAATAATATTTTTTTCTTGTCTTGACTTGAGGAACATGTGTACCAAATCTCATGTTTCTACGACAAACTTGACCTCCGAAAAGTCCCATAGGGGTATTATTTTGGCTGTTGTAGGTGGCGCTGTTCTGTCATTTTTTGAGTCCCATAAAAATAAACACCAAAATATCAAATTTTTCGCCAGGTCTGATTTTTGGGCCAAAATTAACAACTTTTCATGCATGTTCAGGGGGTCAAATTAAGGCTCAAAGTGCAGAAGAAAAAAGAAAGAAAGAAAGAAAAAAAAAATTAAGCCGCAAGCGGCGGCTCGAACGGCCCTCGCCGCACCGCGCGACTCCCGCACCGCGCGCACTCCCCGCACCAGCCCCGCACCAGCCGCCCGCACCCTGCCCCGCACACCACGCCCGCCCCCCACCGCACACGCCCCGCCCGCACCAAGCCGCAACGCGCCGCTCCACAACGCCCCGCACTACGCCGCACCACACCGTACCACGCAGCACCGCTAAAAGGAGGTGGCACCGCCGTGTGATGATTTGTTTTGTAGCCATAGAAGAATGTTAGTCAAATTGTAATGAATATGATAAGTAGAGCTGGTTTGGCTCCCCATGTAAACTTTGACACAGTCTGTAGGGGGCGCTAATGGGCCAATTTCCAATATTTCACTTTAACCTGACCTAAACCCTGGAATTGAACAATGGATTAAAGTTTTGTGCAAATCAGACTTTGTTTGTGCAAACAGGAGCAAAATTAATGTTGTCAAAAAGAGCCAAAAAAACCCTCACATTTTGCCGCTCCGCTGCTTCAAACAACGTTTCACTGATCAAAATTCCCTGAAGTCATTTTGATGGTACATGTGTTGAGATGATGTGGAGCGATTTTGAGGCGAATCGGTGAAACGGCCGAGGCTGGTTTGATGTTTGTGTGAGGTGTACATTTGCAATGAATGGGGAGCGTTTCTGTCGCCACGGCAACAGGGTAAAAAATAAGCCTTGGACCCAATTGACTTTTTGAATCAAGAGGGCAAAACAGATTTATGTGCAAAATTTCAAACATTTTGAAAAAACTAAATTTGAAAATGCCCATCTAAAACTTTGAAATAGTCTGTAGGGGGCGCTAATGTGTCAATTTGAATCATTTAACTTTCAAATGACCTAGACCCTAGAGTTGAACAATGTATTAAAGTTTTGTGCAAATCAGACTTTGTTTGTGCAAACGGGAGCAAATTTAATGTTGTCAAAAACGGCCAAAAAAAGGTCACATTTTGCCGCTCCGCTGCTCGAACAATGTTTCACTGATCAAAAATCCCTGAGGTCATTTTGAAGGTACATGTGTTGAGATGATGTGGAGCGATTTTGAGGCGAATCGGTGAAACGGCCGAGGAGGAGTCGCTTTCCAACCGACATGTATGAAAACTTTTGCTGTTCATTTTTCCATTTTGCAGTGAAATTTATGGGCTTCCTGTTTGTCAGGGGGCGGGGCCATAATAATATTTT